TTTGTTTTGAGATTTAGTTGTAATTCTTTTTGTGGTTGCACAAGATGAAGCCTGTCTACCTAAACTTCCATCTTGACTGGAAGCACTCTACAGAAACATATCTTGGAAGATAAAGGCAAAAAACACATTTTTAAATGCCTTGATTTTTTCCCTAATCTCTCTTAGTTTGTAATAATTAGATTAGTGAGTTCTGTACCAATTTTTTGGAGCCATTATATTTAAGGCTATGACTCAGTTTAATGTAAAGTTGAACAGAATAGTTGAAGAATTTATTAAAGTGGAACATAATATTCAAAATATCAAAGTTATAAGGCCAGTCACTGGAAAAGCTAGGACTACTATTGGACTTGAAATAACTATCTAAAAATATCAAGGATAAATAGTATATTTAAAATTCCATTGTTGTACCTAAATGTAGAACTAAAGCTAAATTACCAGCTAGCCTAAGCTATCTGTTTTCATTCCTTTTTCCACTCATTAAATTCTTTGCTTCTATTTTGAGTTTTTTTAAAGGCTGGCTTATATACACTAGTCTGTAAGGAAGACTCTCTGGACAACCCCAGGATGAAAGTATGTTTTCTTCTACAAAATTCTTTCATAGAATTTATGTGCTCATAGGTAATTACCCTATTGTTCTGCCTCCTACTGTTCTGTAACTGGAACTGAACAGGAAAGCAAGAGGTGCCAACCAAACTGAACATTACTGGAAATTCATATGAAAAGCTTAACTTCCATACTTAACAAGTTAATGTAGGTAGAACTGTGAAGACCCTCCTTGTTGTTGCCTTCAACCACTTCTGCATATCCAAGGCCTGTCCAGAAAAAGTCCAGCCAATGTTAATATACTGAGAATGGTTGGCATGACATTGATGTAACCTGGCAGCCAAGGAGAGTGAACTAGAATGCACATGTCTGAACAATGATGACTTCACTGTACTAGTCAGTGGAAGTGGTAGATGCCACTGAGTGAGCATGTGTACTATATAGCCATCACATTCAAACTGACTGAGCAAGTAGAGCAACAAATCTGCATCAAATTTTGTGTTAAACTTGAATGTTCCTCCATGGAAACTATTCAGGTGATTCAAAAGCCCACAGCTATGGGCCACTGGTGATTGGCAGCTTCATCAGGACAATGTGCCTGGACATGCATCACTCTCATGCAGAGTTTTCTGACAGAACATCAAATCACTCAGGTGATGCAACACCCCCCTGCACCTCCCCGCTATAGCCCAGATTTGGCATCCTGTGACTTCTGGATTTCCCTAAAACTAAAATTACCCTTGAAAGGTTAGATATTTCAGACCATTGATCAGATTCAGGCAAATATGATGGGGCAGTTAATGGAGATTGGCCAAACTGTGTGAAGTTCCAAGGTGCCTACTTGAAAGGGGACTGAGGTATAATGGTCCTATATACAATGTTTCTTGTATCTTCTTCAATACACGTCCCTATTTTTTATATTACATTGTTGGATACCTTCTGGATGAACCTTATATTCCTGAGCCATTTAGTAACCTTCTCAAGCCTTCAAGGCTGACTATTTTCAGTATTTTAATACTAAATAATAGTAAAATAAGTATTAAAGTACTTACTTTAAATAATTTTTCCAGAATAAAAATGTTTATAGAATGGCAAATGCAAAGGATCATCAACTCAGGGCTGCAAATTCCTACTGTCATGACTCTAACGAACATGGAATATTTACAACTTGGTACTTACTAGTGGAATAATTTTATATGTTTCTGCCTTATTCCCCAATTAACTCTAATTTGAGAGCAGGAACTCTGTCTTCAAAGAGGCAATATGGTCTGAATTAGATCTGCCTCAGCCAGCGTAGCTCTGCTCTTATCTATTTTTTATTGGAATTCTGGGTATGACTGTTTCAAAAAGGAGTTAATGTGCTATTATTTTATTTTGTTTTTAAGTTTTAAAAAAAATTTGTACCCCACTAACATTAGAAAGACTGATAATACCAAGTGTTGGCAAAAACTGTGAAACAACTAGGACACATTATTGTATAGTTTAGACACACATGAATGGTACAGCCATATGTTAATGACTCAGACACTCTGGAAAACAGGAAATATCTGTTAAAGATACACAGATCTAGCTTAGATGTACAGATACACAGACATCTTATCCAGTGATTCTACTCATTGGTACATACCCAAAAGAAATTAATGCTATGTCCACCAAAAGTAATGCACAAAAATGTTCTTAGCAACTTTACCCATAATATCCAAAAACTAGAAACACCAAATGTCCATCTATGGAACAATGGATACATTGTGTTAAGTTTAAAAAATATATAGTAATAAAAAGAATGAATTACTACCATTTACTATATTATAGGTGAGTCTCATATTAAATAAAAGAAGCTAGACACAAAATAATAGTTATGATTGCATTTATGTGAAGTTTAAAAACAAGCAACATTGTTCCTGAACTTCACATACAACCTCATTTCACCTTGGTGATAGAGGATGGAATAGTGGTTACTTTTGGGTTGAGGAGGGTATTCAATAGAAAGTATAAAAGAGCCTCCTTTTTTACTAGCATCCATACTGGGTGCTAGTATGTTTCTGTATCTTGCTATGGATGGTGATTACACAAATGTATACAGATGTAAACATTCATCAAATTGTACACTGAATATTTATGCATTTACTATATGTTATACCTTAATTTTTACACTCATATAGTTGTATGTCTTGAGAATAAGCATTGGAAGTTCTAGTCATGGTTCTGTCATTTCTTGACAAAGTATAGAAGCTCACTGGATGTTCACACCATATATGAAATGCTAAGGTCCCTTCCCCTTCTGGAATCCATTGATTCAAAATTTCTATGAATTTTCTTGGTCTTCATGATTGACTTAAACATAGTAAGTATATGTGCAATGTGATCTTTCCCTGATTTTTATCACATATAACTTGAGCATATCTCTTTAGTCCCTAATTGAGAAGACTGAGGGGTCTAATAGATTTACTTTATATTAACAGAAGGAACTAGCATCAGAATCTCTAAGTCAACACATAAGCACACAAAGTGAAATGTTTACCTAAGAATTCAGTGATTAGAAACTAGTTATGGTTTATTATCTGGAAAAAGCAATAAGCTGTGATGACAAGAGTTAGAACTATAACTTGTTTGAATCAATAAAAATAACATAGAGCCAATGGAGTGATAATACCTAGGAGTATGTAATCAATAACTGAAGACTAGGTGCAGAAAGGTATCTGTTCTTTTCAAAATGCTCGCAGCAGCACAATTTACAATAGCCAAGTGCTGGAAGCAACCTAAGTGCCCATCAGTAAATGAATGGATCAAAAAACTATGGTACATCTACACAATGGAATACTATGCAATGGAAAAAAAAAGAAGGAGCTCCTACCCTTTTAGGACAGCATGGATGGATCTGGAGAGCATTATGCTAAGTGAAATGAGACAGGTGGTGAAGGACAAATACCATATGATGTCACCTATAAGTGGAACACACAAAACAAGCAAGCAAAATATAACAGGAGACACTGACATTAAGAACAAACTGACAGCAACTAGAGGGGAGGTAAGAGGGGATAATGGGAGAAAAGGAGGGAAGCATTCTCAGGAACATATATAAAGGTCACATGGACAAAACCAAAGGGGGACAGGATCAAGGGTGGGAAGCAGGGATGGCTAGGGTAAAGGAGAGTAGCAAGGGAAAAATGAAGACAACTGTACTTGAACAACAATAAAAAATGTGAAAATAAAAAAGAATCAATACTTACTGTATTAGTTCTATACATCAGAAATGAATCAAGACATTCTTTTATAGGGGCAAGCAGCATACACAAGGGAAGTATACTACTTTTTCTCTTTTTTTTTTTACAGGGGGCATATATTACTCTTATAAATGGAAAAAAATAAAAAATAAAATTGTTCTCACCAACTTTTCTTCACAAGGAGATGCTACTTGAATTTAACAGTACTCCCCATTTTTTAAAGGATTCTGAATTTTTCATTTATTAGAAAGCATGCAAATAATGTGTTTAGATTATTTTACAAAAAGAGCTCAAGCTGCTCAGAAAAGCAATGGGCTTGCTGGGAAAAAACAATTCTTTAGACTACTGCATAAAGAAGGTAGTCTCCATTTTTACACCCTCACTCTAGATAGGTAAGACATCAAGTCAGGTTACCAGATTAAGTAAGAGTACACTAGTCATCAGTTCATGAGAAAGAAAAAAATGCAATGGTTTTAGAAGTATTTGATTTTAAAGGACTTCCTGTATGGATTATAGATTAAGCTCTCAAATTTCAGCCTGTTGTAATGAACAGAAGAAGTAACCATCAGATGACCACAGAAGCACTGCATGTAATAACATGCCACAAAAAAGCATTAAACCACTGAGACCAAGGCATGGATTCTAATTCTGGCCTTGCATCTAAATTTGAGTAAATCATTTTGACCTTTCTGACTTAGTTTTCCTATCTGTAAAATGAAGAGACTGTGTTAAATAATCTCACCTTTACTTTTTTCTTTATCACTAAAAATTCCTACGTGCTCAGAATTTACTACATATTCAGCAACATAGTAGATGCTTCTGATGTTTACCTTAATCTACACAAAAGCCAGCCATCCTTACTAATGAAAATATCTAGAAATTAGAAATCAGAAGCCACTAAAATTGAATGATGGGCATTAAAGCCTGAGGTCCATAATAAAGGCCTGTCACTGCTACATACTGGGTTTGCCTCCATTAAATTAATAAAAAGAACCACAGTTCATAAATAAATAAATAAATAAAGTGGCTGAAAGGGTCTATAACTGGCTAAAGAATTTTTCAGAAACTCAGTGATGAAGCTATATTTGTTCAAGAAAAGGTCTTTAGTATACACACACACATATACATATATCCAAACATGCATATTAAGATACACACATACATACATACATGTACACACACATCTTTATTAGATGAACAGAGTCAAAATAAAAAAACATGGCATCTACTCACTTTGACAGAGATACTCCCCCAGCTTTCCCAATCATCTCTTCATGGTGTAATACTGAGTAGTTCCAGGGAATATGGAGGAACTTTAAGAGGGTTCTCATCCACCGTTCAGGATGTAAAACAAGTTGTTCATAGTGAACTAACATGCATTTTTTATAGCCAACCTCCATACACTGGTTATACATGGTTTCTATGGCACGATTCCACTTGGTCAAACAGTCCCTGTAACTGTTCAGGTCAAACCCAGCTATAGTAACTTTTCGAGAAATCATTGAATGTACTGATGCTCGGCCATCTCGAATCATCAGGAGAAATTTGGCATTGGGAAATAACCTAGCAAGGTAAGTTAAGGATTTCAGGGCAAAAGGATCTTTATTACATAAATAAGGAGCTGGCTCCCCATGCTTAACAATGATTTCTAGTAAGAAGGCTTGCATGGCAGAATCCAGCACTTCATCAGTAACACCGGCCTCATCCAAGCGTATTTTCTCTTTACTCGACCGTGACCACATCTGCTTCAGGGCCAGGATTCGGGGAATGACTCTGGTTTCCTCTCCACAGCGAATATCAGGATGTGCATCTAACATGGCCCTCATGAGTGTGGTTCCACTCCGAGGCACACCTCCAATAAAGATTAAAGGCATATCTTTGTGATAGGCGAAGGTTTTGTTGGCTTTGATGTCCAGGCCAGTTCGTACAGTGGTCTTTGTGCTCTCCAATTTGAGGGGCTGACTACGTTCCTCTATTCGGTGATGGCATTCCATGGCGTGTTGGCCCAAGTAAAACACAGTCACAGAACTAATCACCAGACATGCCAATAGTAAGTTCTGCTTCAGTTTTCCAACCATCTTGGTGTGGTTATCTTTTTATTAAACAGATATTTTGCTCAAAACGATTTCCAGAAACTGTTCAGGCCATGGAGATTCTACTTCAGAAAGATGATCAACATCTAATAGGAAAAGGAACAAGTTATTTAACCATCATTAATATTGTTTACAAATTAGTTATCAGTTATCACTATAACATTTTAGCTAGAATCTGAAGCTTAGATGCTTTGACATTCATAAAATGCAAATATTCAAAAATGCAAGCAAAAATAAATCAACATTTCAAATCGAAAACATCTTCTTAATATAATAATTCTGAAGCTATGCACAAAATGGAAAGTTAAATAAAACTACTCCTATCAGTGAGTCAAGTGAATATTTAGTGTGCCCAAGGGTATAAGGAGTCTAGCCCAAGGCTCGTCTCTGATATTTAGATTTGACTCATCCCCAAGAAGTCATTATCTCCACATTCTACAAGAAAAAGAAATTACAGAATAGACAACTTCTAAATCTTTAACACATATTCAGTTTATTCATCCTGCAAATTATTTACTTAGGTACTACAGACCACATATTTAGGCTTGGCTGAGTATAAACTTTGAAAAGGACAGCAGTGCAGCAGTGCAGGACAGCAGAGACCTCTGCTCTCAGGAAAAAAGTCTTATGAACAGACAGATATGCAAACAATGGCAATACATGGGATAAAGGCCTTAGTAGAAATAATCACAGGGGACAATGGAAGTATAATAAAAAGGAACAAATAGGTCTATCTACCTCAGGACGCTATAAAGGCCTTACAGAAAGTAAGACAGACGGCTGCTCTTAGCAACATGAACTTGTGTGTGAAAGCACAATGGCATGACAGAATATGGCATAATTAATTCACAAGAAGTAGTTCAGGAAAACTGGTATATAGAGCGCGAAGAAAATGTGTGAGCACGCATGTGTGTGTGTGTGCACCCATGTGTGTGTATGTGATCTAGCCTTCAGAAACACAGATAAAATTTGGGCACACAGAGCATTCTAAGCTAAAGATGACCAGAGATGTGGATGTGTAAAAGCAGAGCATGTATGTAAAACATACATACTATATAAAATATATATACTATAAAACTGCTAGCTTAACTTAAACAAGACTACATGCTATGAAGCAAAGAGAAAGCAGACTATACATAGACTAAAAAATTTACCTGAATCCTCAGAGGGCAAGTGTAATAGTTAATTTTATATATCAACTTGGCTAGGCTATGGTACGCAGTATTTGGTAAAACACTGAATGTTGCTGTGGAGGAATTTTTTTGATGTAATGAACAAATCAACAGACTTCGAATCAAGCAGATTACCCTCCATAATCCAAGTGATCCTCATTCAACAATTAAAGTCCTTAAGAGTAAGTAAGGACAGGTCTTGAAGAAAAATGAATTCTCCTCAAGACTGCAACACGGAAATGCTGCCTGAGTTTCCAGCCTGCTGCCCTGCAGAATTCAGACTCAAGGCTAACATCAACTCTTACCTGCCTGGCTGTTCTATGGATCTTAGAAATGCCAGCACCACAATCTCATGAACCAATTCCTTAAAACTTCATTTATTTGTATCTTCCTCGATTTCTTTCTTCAGTGTTCTATAGTTTTCCAAGTATCGCTCTTTTACCACCTTGGTTCAATTTATTCCTAGGTACTTTATTTTTCTTGTTGCTATAGTAAATGGGATTTTTTTCTTAGTTTCTCTTTCTGATAGTTTATTGTTGGTGTACATAAATACCACTGACTTCTGAATAAAAATTTCATATATATACACAGGTATGTGTGTGTACATATATATACACATACATCCATATGTGTGTGGTCTGTCCAGAAAGTGTTCAGCCATGCAATATGAACATGAAGTATGTGTGTGTATATATATACGATATACACATACAAACTAACAGTAAGTATTCCTGGGAAAATGACCAAAATAATATTCTGAGAAGCAGGATGTCTAGCTATGGACTAGTGAGAAGGTAGGCAATTCTCCCCCAAAATCAATTATAAAGTGGAATGAAATGGACAAAAACATATTTCACAGTCCTCTGGAAATCGACCAGAAGAATACAACAACCAAAGAAGGATTTAAATTTGAAAAATTGCTAAATGTTGAGTAAGAACAGTCAGAGTCTCTGGCATTCTTGCCTGAGCCTATTCCCACTTCACCACCCACCCACCAGGTACTGGGGTTTTGCAGGTCAGGGCAAGGCAGAGCAAACTATGAGGACTGGCAGCTTTTGATCAGAGAGAGATCACTCAATTTGGAGTGCTGTGCTCTCAGTGTCAGTGATGTTCTGGGGGGCAGGTGAGCAAGGAAAGTGAACAGCTGTAGTAGGCCAAGGTTAAAGTCAAGGTTGGCAAGCTTCTGGTCAACTCTGAGGCTGCAAATAGGCAAAGAAGAGACATGAAAGGACTGAATGGAAAGTAAATGTCCAGGCAGATTTAAAAGTGGCCTAAACTTTGAATGTGCTTATCCACCCACACACAGATCTACTGGCTGAGGAAAAGTCTTACTGGTTCAAGGTGTTTAAGAATAAGTACTGTTTCCTAAACTACATCGATAAGGAGGAAAACCCTAGGGAGCTATGTTTAAAAAAATAATTGTGTGTGTGTGTGTATCTGAGCAGCTACACCAGTATACATTTACATGAACTGTCCACACAAGGCAGATTTACAGAGATAGAAAGCAGGGGGTACAAGCAGGAATTTAAAGGTAAACAGGCATAAGTGGACTTTTTGCTGTGATGGAAATGTTCTAAACATGAACTGTTGTGATAGTTGCAGAACTCTCTAAAACCCAAAATCACTGAATCGTACCCTAATGATGAGTAGGTTTTATGGTACATAAGTTACACCTCAATATACCTGTTCTTTGTTTTTTTTAATCCTCACCAGGCGATACATTTATTGATTTTTAGAGAGAAAAGAAGTCAGAGAGATAGAGAGAAACAGAGATCCGTTGCATCCCACATGTGCCCTGACTGAGATGGAACCTGTAACCCGGGTATGTGCCCTGACTGGGGATGGAACCCTCAGCCTTTTGGTGTATGGTACAACATTCCAACCAACTAAGGCACCCAGCCAGGGCAATACAGCTGTTTTGTTTTGTTTTTTCTTAAGAATGCATTCCTAGAAAAATATTTTGACAGTCACAGTAGGATACACCAACCAAGATCTGGTTTTTGCTTACTTATGTATTCATTCCTTTAGTTACATATTTGAACATATTATTGTGCCTGGTACTGTACTTTACTCTAAAGCTGCAACAAAGAACCACAAAGTGAGAATAAGTTGAGATTAAAAGATCAGCTTAATAAGAAAAGGCTGCAAAAAAGCATTAAGATAACTGGTAACAATATAGCATTGAAGTATCTATGCAGAAAACTGTATCCATGACATAGTACAGACACTTAAGATATTATACCAGATACAAAATATTCACAGTCAAAAGTTAACCTCTAAGTTACTATAGCAGCAACCAATAGTATCTGATAACCTTCCATTAAAATACCCCAAATTCCTAGAAAAATACATAAAAATACAAAAACTGGAAATATATGATCAATTTAGCTCCTTGTCCAGAAACAGAAGACCTGTAAGTCATTTGAATGGTTGCACAATACTTTACTGATAGGATCTACCAATGTTTGGCCAATTCTCTGTTATTATTTACTTGTTTTTAAATTTTCATAACTATAAACAACACTATGGGAACTATTCTTATACATACAAACATCTTCGCACACATTATTTTCCTAAATTTTTAGAAGAGGAACTGCTAGTCAATGGGTGCTAGACATGTTTGATTTTAAAGCATTTAATATATCTTTGATTCATCTCTTTTCCACACCCTGCCTCCAAATCTGACAAAAAAATTATTGGTTCTACCTTCAAAACATAGTTAGAATCTGATCACTTCTCAACACTTTCACTAGCAACTCGGCACCTCTCAAAAGGAATACTGAAAAGAATCCTTACTTTCATTCCTGCCCTCCTAGAATCTATTCTCAAATTGAACAGCCAGAGGGATCTTTTTAAAATATAAGTCAGAACATATTCCTTTGCTCAAAGCCTGGTATTGTTTTTCAAAGCAGTCTTGAAAAAGTTTATTTTAAGACATACAACACTAAATCTGTGTTAAATTCCTATCTTTATTCCCCCCTGGTTTTCTTGATCTGTTAAGAAATCTCTATAGGCATCAAAAGTAGTACTGACTGAGGTCAAGCTAATATATCATCATCCCAAAAGAGTGTCTGCTATTCAAAGTCAAGTCATTGAGAAGGGAACTCTTACCATTAGATGTTTCGTAAGGACTTAAATGAAGACAACTCTCTCTTTATTCAGGGGAAAAGAAGACCTTACCGTATTCTCAAGCATACCTGAAAATTGTGTCAACACAATTTTGGGTGAGTTTTTCAAGTTTTGATATCTGTTGTATTTTATTTATTTTAATATACTTTATTGATTATGCTATTACAACTGTCCCAAGTTTTCTCCCTTTGCCCCCTCTACCTGGTACCCCCATTCCTTCCAGAAATCCCACACCCCTTAGCTCATGACCATGGGTCACGCATGTAAGTTCTTTGGCTTCTCCATTTCCTATACTGTTCTTAACATCCCTCTATTTCATACCTACCAATTTGTACTTCTTAATCACTGCACCTTTTCTCCTATTCTCCCCCTTTCCCATCCCAGCTGATAACCATCCAAATGATCTCCATATTTATGATTCTGTTTCTGTTCTGCTTGCTTGCTTACCCTGATTTTTAGATTTAATTGTTCATAGTTGTGAATTGATTGTCATTTTAATGTTCATAGTTTTTATCTTTTTCTTAAATAAGTCCCTTTAACATTTAATATAATAAAGCCTTGGTGATGATGAACTTCTTTAACTTGACCTTATCTGGAAAGCACTTTATATGCTCTTCCATTCTATATGATAGCTTTGCTGGACAGAGTAATCTAGGTTATAGGTCCTTGTATTTTCATCATTTCGAATACTTCTTGCCAGTCCCTTCAAGGCTACAGAGTTTCTTTTGAGAAATTAGCTGACAGTCTTATGGGAACTCCTTTGTAGGTAACTAACTGCTCTTCTC